AATATATGGTATTTTTCAGGATTATGAAAAGATGAAGATGGAGCGTGCTGAATATGATATAGCTGATTTGGTTAATGATCTTCATAGTCGGCTAAAGTATCAGCATCTCGATGGTGACAAAGTAGATTTTGTGTATATTGATGAAGTTCAAGATCTCACAATGAGACAGATAGCGTTGTTCAAATATATTTGTAGAAATGTCGAAGAAGGATTTGTTTTCTCTGGTGATACAGCACAAACAATTGCTAGGGGGATAGATTTCAGGTTTGAAGACATTAGGAATCTCTTCTATACCGAGTTTGTCATGGATTCAAAGGGTGATGAAGTTTCCCATAGAAAAGACAAGGGACATTTATCACCTGTTTTTCAGTTGCTTCAGAACTTCCGGACACATGCCGGTGTACTCAAACTAGCACAGAGTGTAGTTGATTTGCTTTGTCATTATTTCCCTCACTCTGTTGATTTCTTGAAACCTGAAACAAGTCTTATTTATGGTGAGGCTCCGGTATTGTTGAAGCCCGGAGCTGATGAAAATGCAATTCTAACTATTTTTGGGAATACTGGAAGTATTGGAGAAAAAATGATAGGTTTTGGTGCAGAGCAGGTAATCTTAGTGCGGGATGAATCTGCGAAGAAGGAAATCTCCGGTTATATTGGAAGGCAAGCACTTATTTTGACTATTGTTGAATGCAAGGGTTTGGAATTTCAGGCAAGTCATAAATTTGCTTAATTATTATTCTTGGGATTTCAATTGTTAGTATCAATCAAATCTGTTTTCTTTTTAATGATATTCAACATATTTATGTGTAGCCTAGGTTTTTAATGATATTCGATATAACTGCTTCATTTACCCATCCCATCTACTGGTTGGTAGCTTTACCTTTATCATCTTATTTCCTTCTTTGATCTTTTGCAGGATGTACTGCTGTACAATTTTTTTGGGTCATCGCCACTTAGTAATCAGTGGAGAGTGGTATATGAGTTTATGAAAGGAAAAGGTGTAGTAGATATATCCTTCCCAAATTTCTGTGAAGAACGACATAGTCTATTGTGTTCTGAACTAAAACAGCTTTATGTTGCCATCACTCGAACAAGACAAAGGTTATGGATTTGTGAGTGTGTCGAAGAATTTTCCAAGCCTATGTTTGACTACTGGAGAGGATTGTGTCTAGTGGAAACAAGGGAGATAGATGATTCACTTGCACAAGCAATGCAAACTTCTAGCACCCCGGAGGAGTGGAAGTCGAGGGGAGTGAAGGTCGGTCCAGTTGATTTGCCTCGTCTTATTTCTATTAACAAATTCATCTGTTCAAGTCTCACTCTTGTGTTGCTTTACATCTGAGCATTAATTGGCCCTGATTAAGTGCTTTGATGTTATCATGCAGCTCTTTTGGGAAAAGAATTATGAGATGGCAATCATGTGCTTCGAAAAAGCAGGAGAAAGGAATTGGGAGAAAAGGGCGAAGGCAGCTGGATTCAGGGCAGCTGCTGAAAGAATTCGTGATTCAAATTCCAAAGAGTCTTCCACCTACCTACGTCAGGCGGCTGAAATTTTTGACTCGATTGGGAGGTTTGAGGCAGCAGCAGAATGTTTTTATGATTTGAGGGAGTATGAACGGGCAGGTAACATTTGGTGTTTACTTTCTCAGGAGTTCCTTCATTGCTAGGCATTTTCTTTCCCTTTTCAATTCTGTACCTTTCTAGTGTTTTATTAGAACATTTCTTCATTTCCATTTACTCCCTCTGTTTCAATTATTTTTTTGTCTTCTTTACTTAAACTCCGTATCAAGTCAAAAACCAGACAAAGAAATCGAAACGGAGGGAGTATCAGATACTTGTATCCAATTTTGAGCTCTAGTTATATACATCTCAGAACATTTCTGTTAGTACTAATGAACTGTACTGCTATGCTAGGTAGACCTCGAATGACTTATTTAAGTTCGAGTCTTGTGCTAAATGAACTATGTCTAGTATTAAGTGGAGAAGAATATGGTTGGCCCAAGGTTTTGCCCTAGACGGATTTCTATGTCATAAAAAAAGAAGGCAGAATACATATATTGGACCCTAAACTTGGCTTCAAATTTTAACTTTGACCTCCAACTTTCATAGTGCACAAATAGGCACTTTAACTTGTATAAATTAAAACAAGTA